TTCAGGGGGACCGCAGAGCTTCAGGGGGACCGCGGAGCCTCTGAGCTTCAGGGGGAATAGGGTGTGTAACATTGGTTGGGCTGAAAATGGCATATATGCTGTTCTATGAGCACTAATGCAAGCCTGGTTAAAAGCACTAGAATGAAACGACAGGTTTCCTTTCTTTTATGGTATGCTCATGAATATTTAGATGATTTATTCTGTGTGCTGATTTTTAAAGCAAGCAAAGCTGCTGAGCAAAGACACATCACAGCAACAAGCACTCACTCACTGAAACATCAAATTGTTGATAAGGGTGATCAGATGTCCTCTTTTTCCCGCACATGTCCTGCTTTTCAGACCTAATTTCAAAATCATCCAGGATTTTGGTCGAATAAAGCGCAGCAGGACCGAGCCATCAGCTGGTCTGGGAACCCCGGTGGACGGGGGCAGCGGGGGACGGAGCGACCGAACCTGACCTGACGAAGGTAGCCTGGACTCCGTGCTTCTGCATACCGTCACCGGGTCGGGTTTGGACCAGCCCCGGAGCAGATGGCTCGGTTCGAGTGCCTGGTCCTGTCTAGTCAGCGACCCAGTAGTAGTCTGTTCACCCTAGGTATGCTAGCATTGCTAGATATGCTAGCATTGCTAGCATACATTGCTATCAACAGCTCAGTGACAGAATCCTACTTCCAGCTTGCAGTTGTGATGGCCTTAGGAGGTGTTGATAGGGTTTAAACTTCTCTGAACGTCCATTTGACCCACTGAACTATCGTTATTCATCTATGACAATGGAAACTAGGCATGCATTCTATGACATCTTTGAAATACAGCCAGGGTTGGGATGCTGTGGTTGGACCGCTGCTCTGTCAGACCAGCATACTCATATTCAGTACCTGTTCATCTCTTTAATTTAATCCTTTATTTTATCCCTTTAGATTTGTACAAAAAATAGACTTTATATTACATAAACAGGTGTGTATCCCTTTAGTCACATACAAAAAGTGACTGCCTGTTTAGTGTTTTTTGAAGCGTATGGCAATCTGACCTTAAATTGTTTTTTTTCCCCTATGTGACTAAAGGGAAACAATCCCATTGAGGTAAAGGGATAAATGCAAATCTGACTTCTTGAGTATTGACTATAGGTATGCTGGTCTGACAGAACACCGGTCCATCTGTTTAACTCCCCTCACTGATGAACCCAGTGGTTGAACTCCTCCACTTCAGGCAGAGAGTCTCCTCCAACCTTAAGGGACCAGCCTCCTTTTTCAGATCCAGAACCATGTTCTCAGACTCTCAGACTCGGAGGAGCTGCCAGTCATTGCAGGCTGTAGGTCTAGACAGGAAGGGTGTCATGTTGGCTCAAGGCCTTTCCCTAGTCTATAGAACTCATGTGAAGCAGCATGCAGAGCCGGTCCTCTGATCCACGACCCAAACAGCGCTGCTCCTCCTGAGGCTAGGCTGGGATAGTAGCCAGACTCTCCTCCTCAGCACTTTCTCCCCTCCTGGAGAGGCTGGGAGGTCCATACTTGTCATACAGCCTATGAGTTGGCCTAGTGGGTTGAGCAGTGTGCTGGGTCTCTGGGAAGGTTCCAAACACCCGGTTCAATCCCCACAGCCTGCACTCTGGGCAAAACCCATAACCCCACACTGCTCCCTGGGCGCTGCACGATGGTAGCCCACTGCTCCCCAAGATGAGTTAAATGCAGAGAGTTAATTTCTCCAAAATGAGATCAATAAAGTTCAATTATGATTATTCAGCTGGAAAATCTGAACTGTTCCTGCTTGACAGCAGCCAATCAGTGAGAGGTTCCACCTTGTCCTGTGGGCTATGTGAGTCATCAAACTCGGCTCACTTAAGAAGAAAATTAGTCTGGAAGCGACTCTCATCAGCGTGCAGCTCTTCAAGCAGGTGGTTCAGGAATTGAACGCCTCTGAACTAATTGGTAAATCCAGATAAGGGCATTCTCTAGCTCTATTTGGCCACTCTTCAGTTTTATCCACCATTGTATGACATAAAGTGGGAGCATTTCTCCATGTGTGTCAGAAACCATAATAAGGGGCATTTAGCAGCTCCCAGCGGCACTCTGATGAGCAGCTAGTAAAACCATGACAACAGAACCCTGCTGGAGATGGAGGGGACAAGAATTGTTCTGTGTGGTTGGAAGCATCAGCTTAGGAGTGGGTAGTGTTGCTGAGGGACCAACCGGCATCACAGCTTCCAGGACAGAACCATCCAGCGGGAACCTCTCAGGGTGATGCTTATATGACTGCAGCAGCTCTGCTAGAAAACACACGGCGGGGAAACATGGCGGCTACGCCTCTGCTATCTGTAGCAGAGGCAGTTATTGGTGTATAAATAGGGAGTAGGATATAATGCAAGAAGAAGGTTCTGGGTTTGTGTACCTGCCCGCGGTCTTCCTGCATGGGGTCTGCATGTTCTCCCTGAGCAGGTGTGGGTTCTCTCCCGGAACTCCTCCTTCCTCCCACAGTACAAAAACATGACTGTTAGGTTCATTGGTTTCTCTAAATCCTCCTGAGCTTAAGCTTGAGCTTGAGCTTTCCTTTTTCTGTTTACCAGAAAGGGGAAAATGATGAGCTGCTTTTTGGAGGATCACTGTTTCACTATAGATCTGTTTTCTGTCCTCCTGAAGTTTTCCAAAGGTTTTTTTTTTTCCTGGAGGAGAGTGATAAGCTGCTCTCTCTGCTGTCCCTCCTTGTTTTAAAGGACACTCTCTATTGTAACTATTTCCTGTCCTCCTGAGCTCCTATTATAGGTCCACTATTCTGCTTTTTAAAATGTTTCATTGATTGTTTCTGTCCAGTCTGTCCTTCCTGCTATATTCGCTCTGTGTGACTCCAAACTGATTAACAGATTTTATTTAGTATTTTCCCCAAAGTGTTTTACTTTGTAACGGCGTCTCTCTTCCTGTCAGACCCAGGGAATTGCTGCTGAATGGCTGCATAGTCTGACTACAATAGACCTGGACTCTATCTCAGTCAGAGCTATCCAGCATATCCAGTAGTTCATAGTTCATTTTCCCTGAGCTCCGTTTATTGCCGTTTGCAGTTCTTTAGCTTTTTGGTTCCTGATTCTCCACCTTGTGCCCCATTTCCATCACCCATCTAAAACCAATCCGCGCCGCCCAACTGATCCACGCCGTCATCTGAGTCCGATCCGCGCAGGTTCGGACCGAGCTTGGACCAGTTAACCGTACTGAGCTTTGTTCTTGCGACCATTTTCAAACCATGCTGGCACGATTCCTCGTCTCCTATGGATGGTCACCAATAGTACAGCTCTCAAGGCTGAAATTACGCAAACAATTTGCAGCGCTCATAACATTTAGGATCTTATTGGCCCGTGGATCATGGTGGCCATTTCTATAGGAGGACATTATGCTGCATTTAAATAAATTACTCAGGTGTACATACGAACCTGCTATAGTGTCATTTATAGTACAGTGTGAGGCTTAAAGAGGATGCTTTTGTAACAGAATAGGAAATATTGATGAAAAGTAAAAAAAAAAGAAAAAAAAGTATTAGTTTCCAGTAGAGCTGAAACAATTAATCTGATTAATTTTGGTTTATCGATTGTTGAAATAATCGTCAAATAACTTAGTAATTACTTAGAGGCTCTAAAATGTTCCTTCAGCTGACAGCGTGACCCACTTAGAGCAGCAATTATACCAAGATTTAAAAAAATATATATCAACATTTTGCATTTAAGATAAAAATAAGTTTTTCCTCTGTCAATCTGCTCTATCCAGAACTGCTCAAGGGAAAAGTTTTAGTGTCACCTGGTTTATTTTTGTAAAAAAATTCTTTAAGGAACCTTTGGTTATCTGATTATGAATTAATTGAAAAAATAATCAACAGATTAATTTATTGGCAAAATAACTGTTAGTTGCAGCTCTAGATCCCAGTATTTGTATTTATTCAATACATGACTTTAATTACTTACATAACTCATGTCTTTTAAAAAAGATGAAATTGTCCAGAGAGCTGTTCCAAAAAAAATGTCTTCTTGTTTTAGACTGGTGTAAACAAAATGACAAAAATCAGTTTAAGTCTAATGATGGTGTTAACAAAGTGACCAATGAGATGAATCTTTTCAAGTGCCGATTGCATAACATGTGTGGACTTAAATGTTAAACAAATCTTTAACTGGTAACACTTGATAAAAGAAGCCTATTATTTGACTTAAATAACAAAACTGCTGTAAAAGAAAAGCTTTCTTCTCAAAGAGCTTCAGTGTTTTGGGGCGTGGTCTCCAGTGTCTGTGTGCAGCAGACCTGAGGGCCAGTCCCTGAAAATCTGCCGGTCTGCACTGTTGGACTGCTGGTGTTTTACAGTGTGGTCCACTCTGCACAGCCCTGTAGAAGTTATTTTAGCATCAAGGGGCGACAAAACCCCATGAAATAAAGCCCTTATTGATGACGTACCTGCTGCACGTTTAGTACTTTTACATGAATCCGTCCCTGCATGCCGTTCAGTTGAAGCTTTCCCTCGACTGCTTACGTCCACATCGCACAAAGTGTGCAGAAGACATGGAAGGAGTCTCGACTACTGTTCGTCATAAATTCAAGCTCTTCTGTCAGAGTTAAACCAGGTCATTTGTTTTGGCATGATAACTGAATCTGCTGACCCCAAAAACCTTCTTTTTAGGTTAATACCAATACTGCAAAGTTTAGAGAAATCTTCTTGTGCTTTTTCTGCAGGCCGGGTGCCTCCGGGTGCATCGCTGCCCCCCTCAGGACACTGGCTTGTGCATCATTTCATGGGTGTTACGCTGCCGTGCGTTACGCAGAAGTTAGGCTGTCGTTGGACTGAAGTTCTGGACTGGTTATGAATTCTCTATGTATACAACCAGAACTGGAAAAATGCATGGAAAGTTCGGCGTATGCCAGCGTTTTAGGAGATTCTGGGACATCTGGCCATTCCATCCTGACTCCTTTATTTTTCCACGAAGAACATCCATCTGTCAAATGAGTAGAAACACATTTCCTAAAGTTAAAAGATGAGAACATAACCAGGCTCTGAAAACCAAAGTAAAGGTGGTGGATTAATCCTAAAGCATCTTAATCTGTTAACATAGAATAAACGAGGCCCGGATTATTGCAATGGATCCATCTAAACACTTGTTCTTCCATCATGTCATTCAGGCGCCCATTTTTTCTTCTTCTGTGGTGGTTGTCTGGAGCTCTGATGGCTCTGCTGTCTGCAAGTGAACACATGATCCACCGATTGATCCTAGACCCAGATAAACACTTTTCTTCTTTTTTTCCCCCAGCGTTTCTATTGTCATTCCACTGTCACAAGTACAAGGCAGTGAAATTCACTCTGCATTTAACCCCTCCCCATAGGGAGCAGTGGGCTGCCATTGTGCGGCACCCAGGGAACAGTGTGGGGTTAAGGGTCTTGCTCAGGGACCCAGAGTTGCAGTCTGTGGGAATGGAAGTTGAACTCAGAACCTCTGGATTCCAAGATCTATGCCCTAACCCAGACATCCCCATAGTTGGTCCTGGAGGGCCGCCGTCCTGCAGGGTTTAGAGGTTTCCTGCTCCAGAACAGCTGATTTCCATGGATAGCTGATTAACAGACTGAACTGCAATCACCAGAATCAGCTGTGCTAAAGCAGAGAAACCTCTAAAACCTGCAGGACGCCTGCCCTAACCACTACGCCGCCACTCCCCAATTATAGGATAGCTCCTGTATGATGCCGCCGTCTGTCTGGTTGCCATGGCAACCCAGTGAACCTGGAATTTATTGGTTGTATGTGTTGGGGGGGTCCAGGCGACGGATGGCCTCCTCTGAAGCAACTCTCTGACCTGTTGCTCTGTTCATAGGTCTGTTCCAGAAGAACAGCTCCTGCCTTCAGGAGGAGGTGGTGAGGCAGCAGCACCACCTGCTGGGTGGAGCTCACCCTGAATATCAGATGGAGGTGCTGAAGAGCAGCACAGGCAGACCCCAGCACCTGGGTAAGTCCTGCAGCCCCCTCATGCTGGGGTTTAACTCTGTTGACATGTTGGCTGCTTTTAGCCGGCGGGTTTTTCCACCCAGCTCATCCAACCCTGTCAGCATCCATCTTCTCCTGTCTATTTTTCCAGTGGTGTCCTGCAGACCCACGGTGAAGGTGCTCTCTCCAGAGGATGGGAAGCCTAGTATTGTCCAGGCAGCAAGAAAACTTTGTCACTCTGTGGAAAAGAAGGAGTGGAGCTCCAAAGACATCAGTGTCTCCATGTTGGACGTTCTTCTCAGAGGTATGGCTCTAATGTTATGTGAAAATCCATCAATTGTTAACTGGAGTCTAGAGACTGTGAAACATGCCTTTGGCTGAGAGAGACCTGCTTAGAGCAGGATGTAAAACAATCTAAATATTTAGAAAACTTTTCATTTTCTGTCCATATTCTATACCCACTTAAGAGGACGCTCCATGGTTCTGAGATTTTAAAGGGAAATAACTTTATTTACATTAATCTTATGTTGCTAATGTTTACTGACTCTTCCCTTTTCTATATATCCTTCATTTGCATGTAGTGTTTTTAATCAAATAAAAACGGAAAAAATAAATATGGTTACTTTTACGTCGCTCTCCCACAGCCGTCATTTTGACGGCTCCATCAGTTGCATTGTAGATTTTTCTCGCGGACGATTGATGTCCGGTACAGTTGCCTAGCAACCAACATTCTACCTAGAACTCTTTGGCTAACACAGAACAATGGCTTTCAGAAGAAACCTAACAGCGAAACAGGCTTTAGAAATGCTTGAGAATATTGATGATAGCGATTTGGGGGAGGGGGAGTGACCGATGAGCTGGACTGGGTAGGAAGCAGCTCAGATCCTGACAGCGAGTTGAGGATGATCACCCACCCACAGGAAAATGCAGACGTGTTGGTGACCCATCAGACAATAGTGAAACTTATGTTCGAGGTGTGGATAGCACCGCCCACACCTCAGCCGGTTCAGTCAGAGGCCCAACAGCCAAACCATAGTCTACTATAACCACACAGGTCAGCGTGTCTGATCAGATGATTAGAAAGTATTCTGGAAAAGCTCCAACTCAAAGGTGGCCTGTGGCTGTATTTTACCAACTCCTGGACATAGCAAATAGAAACACATTGGTTTTATTCAGGAGGTGTTTGAAAATCACACAGAGATTTTATCCTTGAACTGGTAAAACAGTCGACCTTATGTGCTCAGCTCAGCAGGTTTGGAGCCCCTCCCCCGCTGTAGAGCAGATTTGGCATGGAAAAGAAAACTCATGTGTTCCATTGGGAAAAATGTCACCCATCAAATTGACGGTCAGTGGGAGTTCTAGTAGGATCAGAGTTCTGGAAGTGTTAAGCAACATTTTGCTTCCCTATGATTGCATCCTCGCGATCCGTCTGCTTCAGCTTTCAGCTGATGAAGCAGACCTTTCAGCTGCCTTTGGAGTGTTGCTTGTTTATTGAAGAATGACCTCTGACCTTTGCCCTCTCTCTGACCATCGTAAAACTTGGATATACCACACATAGTATGAGCTAACTAGCATTGGAAGCTATCTACAGTAATATTCCTGTAGAAATTAAGTTACCATCATCACTCAAACAAAGAAACATGTTAAACATTAAGAAATCCCTTCAAACACAACAATGTATCAAGGTTTCTCAGCTGAACAGAGAAACTCTCTGGCATTACATTCTGTCATCTTGGAACTGTTGCTTCCTCTACTTCAAGGGTGTCAAACTGGTTCCAGAAAGGGCCGTGTGGCTGCAGGTTTTCTTTCCAACCAAACAATAGCACACCAGACTCCATTCAGGTCATCATGTTAAGACTGGACTCACTTGATTAGATTCTGGAGTCTGGTGTGCTATTGCCTGGTTGGAAAGAAAACCTGCAGCCACACAACCTTTTATGGAACCAGTTTGAGACTCCTGCTCTAGTTCCTTTTAAGCGTAACAAAAACAACCACCAGAGGGAGCTCTAGGGTGTTTTACAAAAACAAATCTCATTCAGTAAAACTCAGAGAAGGCAGAGCACTGATCATTGATGAATTAATCAAAAAATAATCGACGGAAAAGAAAATAATTGCTAGCTGCAGCTCTGGGTTAATGGTCAGTTTTCATTGTGTTTTTACTGTTGCTCAGTTACCTTAGACTTAGTCTAAGCTTCAGCTGACCTCCCCATCCTGAGTACATTTTATGTCTTCAGACTGGGAAACATTAGCTTTCCCAATGATCATGTTTGAGTATTGCTTTATTATTGTTTTATTATTTCATAAATGCTTGGTTATAAGTTTACTCCTCATCGATGTCCAGAGCTGTCAGCTGGATGGCCGTTTTATCTCTATCTAGAAACAACAACCCTTCTATGGATTCTTGGCCACTTTGAGGACCACCATAAGCTTTTTTTCTTTACATTTTAAGTTTTCAGATGGTCTTGTTGGACGCTCAATCTTCTGACATTGTAACTCCGTTTTTCTTTGCTGCCTGCGCTTCACTGGTTTAAAAATCATAACTCAGTTATAAACCAGCCTGACTCTTGATCCACTCTGTTTAATTTAATCCAGTTTATTTCTATAGAACCAATTCACAACACCTGTCATATCAAGGCACTTCACCAGATCATCCAGTCAGATGGATTCAAAGTTTTCTATCTAGGGAAAACCAGCTGATTGCATCGACTCATTGACTCTTCAG